TAGCATCCTACAAAATAAGTCTTCAAATATAGCACAAAAATGAAATGCTCTAAGAACAGCCCTCCTTCCCCCACAGGACACAAGTACAGCTTACGTGGATGTTGAAGCCTCATTACAGAAAAACTACTAAATCATAGGATTCAAGTTTTCTTACCTGTAACTGTAAAAACCAAAGGATCATTAGTCAGAAGCAGTTTGAGATTATTTTAGGCATAAGATAAAGATGGAAGAAGGAACATAGGTTTTACCTGTTTTAAGGCAGACGTCCAGTTTTAAAAAAGTATTATGTTGTTATGTTCAAAAATTAACATTTACATAGTTTACTATAATGCTAATTAAAAAACAAGCGTAGCATTTCCAGACATGAGACTTTATCAAACAAATTAGAATCATGGAATTGTTTAGGTTGAACACGACCTCTAAGATCATCAAGTCCAACCGTTAGCCCAGCACTGCCAAGTCCACCAGGAAACCATGTCCCTGAGTGCCATGTCTACACATCTTTTAAACACCTCCAGGGATGGTGACTCAACCACTTCCCTGGGAAGCAGGTTCCAATGCCTGACAACACCTTCTGTGAAAAAATTTTTCCTAATATCCAATCTAAATCTCCCTTGGTGCAACATGAGGCTGCTTCTTCTTGTTCTATTATTTGTTACAACCTCCTTTCAGATAGTTGTAGAAAGTGATAAGGTCACTCCTGAACCTCCTTTTCTCCAGGCTAAACAACCCCAGCTCCCTCAGCCACTCCTCACAGGACCTCTGCTCCAGACCCTTCCTAAGCTCCATTGTCCTTCTCTGGACACATCCAGCACCTCAATGTCCTTCTCGTAGCGAGGGGCCCAGAAGTGGACACAGCACTCGAGGTCCAGCCTCACCAGCGCTGAGTACAGAGGGACAATCACTTCCCTGGTCCTGCTGGACACAGTATTTTTGATCCAAGCCAGGACACCATTGCCTTCTTGGCCACATGCTGCTGGCTCATGTTCAGCTGCTGTCGACCAGCACCCCCAGGGCCTTTTCTGCTGAGCTGCTTTCCAGCCTCTCTTCCCCAAGCCTGCAGTGATGCCTGGGGTTGTTGAGACCCAAGGGAAGGACCCGGCACTTCGACTTGTTGAACCCTCTCACAATTGGCCTCAGCCCATCGATCCAGTCTGTCCAGACCCCTCTGAAGGCCTTCCTACCCTTCAGCAGATCAACACTCCCATCCAACTTGACATCATCTGTGAACTTACTGAGGGTGCACTTGATCACCTCATCCCGGACTGTCGATAGATATTAAACAGGACAGGCCCAAATACTGAGCCCTGGGGGATATCACTTGTGACCGGCCACCCGCTGGATATAACTCCATTTACCACCATTCCCTGTGCCCGGCCATCCAGCCAGTGTTTCACCCAGAAAACAGTGCACCCATCCAAGCCAAGGGCAGCCAGTTTCTCCTGGAGAAGGCCTTATTAATCTCAGGAAAGGGAAAAGCAAGATGAATGAGCATATATTTAACATGACTAACAAGAAATTGTATTCCACTATTCCAGAAACTGAAAACAAGTATCTGATGAATTTAGCTGCCACTGTGGTCAGTTATGACACAGCTGAACTGTTCAGCTCCACATCAGCAAATCTGACTTAAGTGCTTGATGCTGACGCAGGAACACTTTCTCCAATGGTTTGACAGGAGTGGAAATTACTACAAGAAGGAAGCAAATTATAAATTTTTAATGAAAACCACTACCTTAATATAGCTATTACCAAGACACGCTACTGGAGTAGAGAGTCCGCGGGCCACATTTAAAGGGCCCTTAATCACCATTAAAAAGTAATTAAGAAAATCAGGCTTCTAATTAGCAGGCATCAGTTCACAGATCTCCAAAACCACTAGAATCATAGAATGGTTTGGAATGGAACGGACCTTAAAGATCATTGAGTTCGGACCCCCTTGCCACAGGCAGGGACATCTCCCACTGGACCAGGTTGCTCAGAGCTCCATCCAGCTTGGCCTTCAACACTGCTAGGGATGAGGCATCCACAACTTCTCTGGGCAACCCATTCCAGTGTCTGGCCATCCTCACAGTAAAGAACTTCCTCCTAATATCTAATCTAAACCTGTTCTCTTTCAGTTTGAATCTTGTCCTGTCACTACATGCTCTTGTAAAAATCCCCTCTCTCTCTTTCTTGCAGGCTCCCTTCAGCAATCATTAAAACCAAATTTTGGAAATCCCTGTAACCCAAATCACCCTAGTTTCTCCAGCCAAAGAATCAAGCTTCCCATCTCGAAAAAGGAGGAAAGAGCTCCCCCTCCCCCCTAGCAACTGGACTGAGAAGCATCTCCCCCGCCCTGGGAAGGGTCTGTGCTTCCAGCGCAAGGCGCCCCAAAGCCCTCGCTGTGAGGGGCTAAGGCTGCAGCCCCGCGGGGTCCCCGAGCAGCGGGGACGCTGTGCTGTGCTGTGCTGTGCTGTGCCGTGCTGTGCCGTGCTATGCTGTGCTATGCTGTGCCGTGCCGTGCTGTGCCGTGCTATGCTGTGCTATGCTGTGCTGTGCCGTGCTGTGCTGTGCCGTGCTATGCTGTGCCGTGCTATGCTGTGCCGTGCTGTGCTGTGCCGTGCTGTGCTGTGCCGTGCTGTGCTGTGCTGTGCCGTGCTATGCTGTGCTGTGCTGTGCTGTGCTGTGCTGTGCCGTGCTGTGCTGTGCTGTGCCNGTGCTGTGCTGTGCCGTGCTGTGCTGTGCTGTGCCGTGCTATGCTGTGCTGTGCTGTGCTGTGCTGTGCTGTGCCGTGCTGTGCTGTGCTGTGCCGTGCTGTGCTATGCCGTGCTGTGCCGTGCTGTGCTGTGCCGTGCTGTGCTGTGCCGTGCCGTGCCGTGCCGCCCCCCCCGGCCCGAGCCCGCCCCACCTCTCGGCCTGCGCCGACTTCATGATGTGCGTGCGGGCGGCGCTCAGCTTCCACGGCCCGAAGGTGAAGTCGCGCCGGCTGCTCTGGAAAACCGGGTGCATGGCGGACTCCTCTCCGCCGAGGGGAAGGCAAAAGGAGCCAGAACGGGCGGCAGAGGCGGCGGAGCTCCTCTCCTCCCCACACCGCACAGCGCTCACGGCAGCGACCGCAACGCCGGAACAGCCGCCTCGCAGCGCTTCCGCTTCCAGGGGCGCCGGCAGCGCGGAGCCCGGGCGCGGAATCCTGGGATGTATTAGGAAGAGCTTTGCTAGCAGGGAGAGGGTGGTGTTCCAGTACCTCTGCTCAGCCCTAGTGAAGCCACATCTGAAGTGCTGTGTCCAGCTCTGGGCTCCTCAGAACAAGAGAGACATCGAGATCCTGGAGCCGGTCCAGAGGAGGGTGACAAAGATGATTAAGGGACTGGAGCATCTCTCTTACGAGGAAAGGCTGATGGAGCTGGGTCTGTTTAGCCTCGAGAAGAGATGGCTGAGAAGGGACCTCATTAATGTGTATAAATATCTAATTCTAAGAGGATGGAGCCAGGCTCTCGGTGGTGCCAAGCAATAGGACAAGAGGCAACAGGCAGAAACTGATGCACAGGAAATTTCACTTGAATATGAGGAAGAACTTCTTTACTGTGTGAGTGACCACGTGCTGGAACAAGTTGCTCAGAAAGGTTGTGGAGTCTCCCTCACTGGAGATATTCAAGAACCGTCTGGACACAATCCTGTGCAATGTGCTCTGGAATGACCCTGCTTGAGCAGGGAGTTTAGACCAGGTGACCCACGATGGTCCCTTCCAACCTGATCCATTCTATGAGGTGACGTGTGGGGGGCAGGTGGGAAGTGCTGCCACACATGGAGGGCTCCGTGCTGCTCTGCGCTCCTGGAGCCACCATGAGGAGAGCAGACCTTTCTCTAGCCTCTGCCCACCACAGGAAAAGGGAGCCAGCAAGCTCCCCCGTGCCCCCATTCCCGGGGAGCCGGTCTGTGGCAGCTGATGGAGAACATGTATGTGCCCCGTGGGTGTTTGTGCCTCCAGCCACTTCCCCACGGGTACCTCACCGAGAGCAGCAGGATGGCTGGGTGGGAGCTGGGGAGCTCTAAAGCCTCTGACGGCCCCGGGCCATCTCCCTGCCCATGCTCAAAGGTGCAGCAGACATTACCAGGCTTCATCACACAATGCCCTCTGCTGTGTTGGCAGGTGGAACTTCCTGGGTATCAGTTTCTGCCCGTTGTGGAATCCCCTATGCTGAGTTGGGTATGGTTCTTAACATATTGGTTCTTGAATGTTGTCCAAAGATGCTCTTTTAAAAATGTCGAAATGTGATGGCAGCTTAAAAAATCCTGTAGAAAAGCATCAGTAGAACTGGTTGAAAATGACACATAAGTTACTACTCCATTGCTAATGGGGAGGTGGTTGGGTTGCTTTTCTGCATCACTGAAAGGGCAGACTTAACTCCCTAAGAATTTCCCTTGGCACAGGAGCAAGACACACGATCCCACTCCTGCTGCTGGAGCACAGGGGCAAGCTGAGAGAACAGCTACGGGAAACTGATGTCCGCATCATGAAAAACTCCCCGGAGCAATCAAAACATAGCACAGCTCGTGTCAGAGCAGTCGTCCACTGCGCTCAAAGACCTTAGTGATGCACAAGCACGGCATTTAATTATTGTTCACCCTTTATACTGTGTACTTTCATCATCATGGCTAGGCTTCGCGAACGAAGATTTGTGTACTTTATACTGACACCCATATCTGGTGTCTTGCTTCAGGTGGTGTTGGGGGGAAGAACTCCTCCCAAAATCTTCGCTGTGTTACTTTTAATAGCGTTTCGGAGGTGTAGCGATTTGGCTCTGCCCCTCTGCGACTGCCTGGTACTACGTGCCGAGGCAACTCGCTTCACCTGATCCGTGTAAAATGGATATCCCCCACACACACACACACACACTTTTTACTGGATTTCGGAGGCTCCGCTCGCCCCTCGCGGGCGGCCGCGGGGAACATGGCGGTCGGGGAAGGGGCGCGGCGGGACGAGGCGGCGGGGCGGGACGGCGGGAGGGGCAGGGACGGGCCGGGGCCATGGTGGGGGAGGCTCGGGCCGCGGCGGCTCTGGGGGGTCCCGGGCGCCGTAACCAGGAACGTCCCACTCTGGCGGCGGCGGGCGGTGAGTGCGGAGCCGGGGCGCGGGGCAGAGGCGGCGGGAGCGGCGGCGGGACCCGCTCGCCCCCGGGGCGGGGGGGTAGGCGATGGATGCCCGGGGCGGAGGACCCTGTCCCAGCCCTTTGTTCGCTGCCGCAGGGAGCGCGGGGGCAAAATGGCGAAAGCGCCCCCCAGCTGGATCCCGCGCGCTTTTTGTGTGCCGGCACGCCTGGTCAGGCTGCCCGGGGTTGGGATGGGATACTGCCCCTGCCCTGGGATGTGATGGGATGCTCTTTGCCCTGCCCAGCCCCAGGCGGGCCACCCCTGCCGAAGGCCGCTTTCGCTCCCCGGTGAGCAGCGGGGCCGCGAGGGGACGGGGAGCGCCGGGTGCCCCGGGCGTCGCCAGTGCCGGGAGCGGCCGCGGGCAAAAGCCGCCTTCCCAAAACGCGCAGCGGTCCAAAAGTATTGGACAGGCCCGCAGAGGTGGTGCGGGCATGCTTAGAGAGAAACTCGAGGGGAGGCGTTTTTGCAAACAGCCTCAGACAGCTTCGCTAGAGAGGAGCTAAGTTGTGTTTCTACAAAGTATTGGCCCAGTAATGTCTTTAATTACATTCTTAGGAAAGTACAGATAAAAATGGAAAAAAGGCGTCCCTCCAGACTGACACTGCTGCCTAAGGCCACAGCAGCCACGCAGATGGAAGCATTTCTGTGAGTACTCCTGGCTATCTGGGACCCGTGGTTGGGCATAGCCACAGAATTAGCTGAGATGACTTTCCCTGAGTCCCCAACTTCCAAGAAATTCTGATATCAATGTCATATTGTTTAATGGACTCTTTTACTTTCCTGGTCTGCATATTTGCATTTTTTGGTGGTGGTTTTTTTGGTTGTTTGGCTTGGGTTTTATTTTTCGGTATGCTGTCTTGCAGATGGGTGAAGGATTGAATGGTGAATGGCAGTTGGAGGCAGCGGGGAATAGGCTAAGGAATTGGGAGAAATAACAAGGTTTCACAAAATGAGGTTTTGAGTCAGTGGGATGGATGCTAAGACTGAGAAGTCAAGGATTAAAGGTTCTTAAGCATTTCTGTAGCATGGACCTTGGCTTAATGCAAGGAAGTGTTTTTCAAACCTCACGTACAGAAAGCCAGTTCCCCCAGTCCTTTGGTATTGGCAGCAAAATACAATCACATCTGTAGCTAAGGTGATTATGAACACGGAGAAGCGATGTTGGGAGAGTACATGCAATGGTTCCCAAGTCTTTGAATGTTACTTAGCAACTGTTAAGAAAGAGTCAGCAGGGTATGATTAGCCAGGCATCCCCAGACCACCAGCAAACGCTCCATAGGCAGAATACAAGGTAACAATTGGGATAAACAGGCAGATTTTTTTTAAAAAGTGACTTTCTTTAAAGTAAGAGAAACAAAGACTGATAGCGATGTTCTTGTTTCTTCACAGGCTAGATGAAGGGACCGAGTAAGATGCACAGCTGGTAAGTATGACCTAGAAACAAGTAATATCCTTAGAAAATTTTAAAGTAAAATGTACTAATTTTCTTTCTTGTTTCCCCCCTTCACTTCTTCTTGTCTTTCAGACAGTTTCTTCCCTGTTCTAGGCTTGATGCTGTCATTGATCTCTTTGGTGGGCCCATAGGCAATTTACTGCCCCTTCGCTTGCCTGTCTAAAATGATTTCCTGTGTACTACAGGTAAATTTTAACACAGGCAAAAGGGCCTCCAGTCTCTGGAAGGAGTTTGAAGAAATACTGCCTGAGTGTTTCTGAGCGTTGCTCTGCTTTTAAGTGCTCAGCATGTCTTGGCTGCTCCAGCTCTGCATGCTCTGACCATGAGCAGCAATTCCTCCCTCGGCATCGTGAAGGGCCTGAGGAACCTCACCACGCAGGAAGATGGGGCAGTCAGAGTCACCGAGTCCATTGCTATCATCGTCATTGCTATTTTCATCTGTTTGGGCAACCTGGTGATTGTCGTCACCCTGTATCGGAAGTCTTACCTTCTCACGTTGAGCAACAAGTTTGTGTTCAGCCTGACCCTTTCCAACTTTCTGCTCTCTGTACTGGTGCTGCCTTTTGTTGTCACCAGCTCCATCAGGCGAGAATGGATCTTCGGAGTTGTTTGGTGCAATTTCTCAGCCCTGCTCTACATGCTGATCAGCTCAGCCAGCATGCTGACCCTTGGACTCATAGCTATAGACCGGTAAGCCGCTCTTTTTTAACGAATTGTAACAAATTGTCTAGTCATCTCATAGAGGGACTTGTTGGCTGTTCACAGAGTTGAGAAGCAATGCAGAGGGTAACATGGCGTAGTTATAGTGTCATTTTTTCTTCAGCCCCTTCTGAAATTTTGATCTAGACCATGACAAAGCGATGTCATCAACAATGCAAAATGCAGACGTGCGTCTGAAGTTTTTTAGCACTTGATGGTGAATAACACACTGCTTGAGAAACATGAAATAATGACTTAAAATTCCAAATTCTACCCTAAGCATGCACTCACACACAGGAACAGATTTAATAGTTGAGTGTGTGCCTTCAGCCGAGTTTGACAGTCTTGACTGCAACAATACATATTTTTACATGTAACTGTTTTAGAAACAGGGTCTCTGAGCCTGCTCCGATGTTTGAAGAAGAAAGGGCTAGATATCAACATCATTAAAATATGTTCCTTTCTTTGTCCTATGTCTTTTGTGCTTCTGTTGACTACTCCTCTTCCTGCCCACCAGGTACTATGCTGTCCTGTACCCGATGGTTTACCCAATGAAGATAACGGGCAACAGAGCAGTGGTAGCTCTTGTGTACGTGTGGCTGCATTCCCTTATTGGTTGCCTCCCTCCTCTTTTCGGCTGGTCGTCTTTAGAGTTTGACCAGTTCAAGTGGATGTGTGTGGCGGCCTGGCACAAAGAGGCCGGCTACACTGCCTTTTGGCAGATCTGGTGCGCGCTGCTGCCTTTTGTGGTCATGATGATCTGCTATGGATTCATTTTCCGTGTGGCGAGGATTAAGGCCCGCAAAATCCACTGTGGTAGCGTCGTCATCGTGGAGGAGGACTCGCAGAGGAATGGGAGGAAAAACTCCAGTACCTCCACGTCCTCGTCTGGCAGCCGAAGGAATGCTTTCCAAGGGGTCGTTTACTCAGCCAACCAATGCAAAGCTTTCATAACCATCGTGGTTGTCATCGGGGCTTTCGTGATTACGTGGGGGCCTTACATGGTAGTAATTACATCAGAGGCACTTTGGGGAAAAAACAGTATTTCCCCTGCTTTGGAGACATTGGCTACGTGGTTGTCCTTTTCCAGTGCCATTTGCCATCCGCTAATTTATGGACTGTGGAACAAGACAGTGCGCAAGGAACTGCTAGGGATGTGCTTTGGGGATCGGTATTATCGCGAGTCCTTTGTTCAGCGGCAGAGGACGTCGAGGTTATTCAGCATTTCCAACAGGATCACAGGTAAGACGTGTGGCTGCAAAGGACACTCTTCATTAATACCACTAAGAGCAAGGTTTCATGTCTGTGTGTGCTTGGCATGTTTCAGAGCTCTCTAAAAAAAGTGGGATGTTTCTGGAGTTTTCATCAGTCTTTTGCTCAGGTTATCCCTGACACCTGAGAGGAGAATTATTATTTTTTTTTTTGGTGGTTAACGTGTTTTTCCTACTCTAGTAAAATTTTCTCAGCCAGAGAAAAACATAGTGTTAAGGTTAATAAAAAATATTTATTTTCTTTTTTCTCAACCATTTCCTTTTGTGTTGCCCACATTTGAGCTCTACCAGTAGTACTTTTTCTACACTTTTTCTGTGATTCCTGGCTTTATGCTACAACTCTGAGATCCACTGAAGTTACACTGGTGTTACTGTAAATTCAGTTTTTAGGCTTAATGATTGTGAAGAAAAAATCATTAACAAAGTAGAACTATGTAAAAATAGAACTATTTGGTGTCTCCCCATGTTGCAGGCTGAGAGCTTCAGTTGCTCGGTTTGGTGTTTTGTTTTTTTTTTAAAGTCGCAATGCAATGACATTCTGATTTTTTCATCATTTGCCTTGCCCTGTTCAGAAGCTTCCAAAAATAGAACACTTTCAAGGGATATTTCATGCCGAGGCAGGAACTGAAGTTATTTAATTGAGAAGGAAGATCTAAAATGCAGAAGGAAGGTGAGAGCAGCAGGGCATCTGTTATCTTTTCTGCAGCCTGAGATTACTGGGAGAGACTTGTCATCTGAATGAAAGGATGCTGCAGCTACAGCCACATCACAAGCTGCAGGAGTTTTGACAAATCTGTATCCAGGAGATGCTATGGATGAACATACTGGGAACTGGGGTGGAAGGGCAAAGACAGGAAATTTCTTTCTCTTTCCAAGCAATAAGAAGCTGACAGTTTCAAGTTTATCAGGTGTATTAACTGTAGGCTGACAGGAAGGGGAAATAGAGCCCCACTAAACCCAAAACAAAATCTTGAAGTGAGATTCAAAGAAGGCACCTTTGTTAAAAACCTAGGATCTCTTCCTTTCTTGTTTTGAAGATTTGAAAGAAGTCAGGTATGTCTGTGCTTTAGCCTTGCTCATAAACTTTGTTACTCCCTAGCGGCCTGTAACAGCTGCTGGTGGCTACCATGTTACTCTCTGTCTAGAAGGTGCCTGGCAAATATTCTCATCCCTGTGAGCATATACACTCGGTGCTCAGCCTGTCCAGCTCATAAAATACATGTTGTTGAAACAAGAGTGGGAGGGAGATGGTGCAGGTAGAAAGGAGACTTTCCCTAAAGAAAGACTCCAACAATACCTGAGAGCTGCTGATGAGATTTCTAAGATGGGAAGTCCAGAAGCTGTGCACTCTGAATCAGCAAGGTAAATTTTATAAGCAGAATAATAAATAAAGCAGTAGAGTGAGTATTACTGGAAGAGGCTTTTACTATTGCAAACCCCTGAAACATTCACAAGAACAAAACTTTCTTGCAGATTTGGGACTATCTCCTCATCTTACTGCCCTCATGGCAGGTGGACGGCCATTAGGAAACAGCAGCAGCACAGGAGACACAGGTTTCAGCTGCTCACAGGATTCAGGTAACTACAAGTCTCTTGCTTTCTTTACTTGGGCAGAAGCTTGCACTTGGCAGAACTCACTGGGATAGTCAGTATTTACACACACAGATGTCTTTTGGTGGATGAATGACATGAAGCATCTGTTCCAGCTGTTACAACAAAACTGCTGCAATTGCTTTTTTCCTTCCTTGCTCTCAATATATTTACTTGCAAAATGCTGTTTACAGAATAATGACCCTCCCTTGTTAATGTGTCCTGGGAACAAGACTCACTGCTTTTGTGCCCTTCTCCTTTAGTTTTCTATTGTTCTTTGGAGACTTTCCCCGTATCCACAAGGAACAGAGCAACAAAGGGCTGTGGAGAATGTGCTTCTCTTTTCTATTTTGTAAGAGACCTTGTTTTGTTCATCCTGCAATGTAAACATAAACACTTGGAATGGCTTTAGCTTATGATTTCATCACTACTTAAGATCTCTCAATTGAAGTTGTTTTGGAAAAGGGAAAAACAGTTCTGCCAGTAATTTTCTATCCAGAATTGTTGCTAGATTTTTGTGGCAGTTGATTCAGCTACCACTCCTTAACTGCCCTAGTTTAAGAGTATTTCTGCTGTAGAGACAGCAGAGGGTGATCTTCTAACATTCGCTTGGTGTAAGGGGTTTGTTTCTTTTGTAAAGGAAAACGTGAGCTGGGATTTATTTATGGCCTTCTTTTATGCTGGTAGTTTTATGCCTGTTGTGGGTGTTCTGCAGCTTTATGTGATAAAGGAGAACAACATCCTGGTAAACCTGCGTCAGTAAAGTGGATGTTGTGTTACCATTTTTTGAAGGACAGTGAGCAGTTTAAACAAATGAACGAACTAAAGAGATAGTGAGTGCTGTTAGAAGTGCCACTGTTGGTTAAAGAGGGAGTATGGATTAAAGCCTGGGAATGGATATACAGTGATGCACTGTGAAATAATGTTTCACTGGATACTTTTACTGTGAGGAACTAAAGAGCAGCAAGAAGTCTTAGTCCTTCTTCAGTGTTGCCTGCTGCATGTAGTACGTGATTCCGTGGCCTGTAGTGCAGTTGTGTCTTTATCTTCCCTGGTAAACAGAAACTGGGCTTTTCATGTTGTGAAAAACAGATAAAGTATGGAAGAGGAAAAAAAATCCAAGTGGTGCCAGCTGTACACAAAATACGAAGTGAGACCTGAGTCCCAAATACTAGAAACGTTGCCTTAAGATCAGTTATTCCAAGGAAAAAGATCCACCGTGTAAGAATAAGAAGCTAGTTTCTTCACCAGCCACGTTTGAAAAAAAGCACTAAAATTCTACTGCATGGAAGAATATATCTTTCTTCCTAGTGCCACTCTTCCATTACATGCTACATTTCTGAGGAGGATTTGGTACCCTAGTAGATCAGTAAGAGTCTACTGCTTTCAGATCAAAAGCAGTCAAGTGGGTGAAGAGGGATATGAAATCACCATCCAGAGGAGTTACAAAATCTGGAAGGGACTTTGTCCTAGGTCTGTTGTCACATCACAGGAGTAAATGGATTGATAGTAGAGTGCCATATATTGAATGTGTGCAATCTGTGTCTTCCAACAACAGCTTCCCTGAGAACTGCTTTCTCAGCAGTGCCCTAGTGTGTCCACAAAATACTTGCTCTGCTTTTCCTTTATGCAGCAGAGAGACCAGCATTACAAGGAAGGTGTAGGCTGCAGTCTTGCCCTCTGTGTGAAAGCATTGCAGAGATGCCAAGAATTTCCTTGTGCTTTTTAAACTCTTATTTTATGTTGGAAAGGTGCAAAGCAGATTCAGGGAGGTGAAATTTAAAAAAAAAAAATAAAAAATCCTGAACTGGAAAAAAGACTCATTGGACAAAAATCATTCCCAACCAGCAAGGAATTTTTCCCCATTAAAATACACTTCAAGAAAGTGAAAGTAGGTTACTAGAGACAAACTAAATTGAACAGAAAAATTCTGCAGTTCAAATTCTACCCAGGTCTGATTACAAGCAGACATTTGGCAGCTATGGTTGTCTGCCTCTTGGGTAGCCACTGTTGGCCTCTTGTCTTCATCAGGAAATGGGAGAAGTTGCTCTCAACTTTACCTTTTATTTACTGAAGGTAAGGTTTCACCTTTATCTGCTGTCCTATTGACATTATAAGCTCTTCAGCTGAGAATTTTGAAGCTGCTTGAAGTTTTAGATGGCTAGTGAGAAAAGATTTCCCAATCCTTTGAATGAAAACTCTGACCTCATTCTTTTCCTTTTCAGTGTTTAATTAGAGCTGAAATTTACTCCCAAAAGCTGAGTTTAGACCTCTTTTGAAGGAACTGCTATAGACAGAAAAGTTTTTGCCAGGACATTGTATCCCAGTGTTACTGTCTTACTTGAGAATGCTTGCATTGTTTCAGGAACAGATACAATGCTTCTTGAAGATTATAGCTCAGATGGCCCTCATGCCCCACACTGCATCTGTCCTCCTCGACGGAGGAGTTCAGTGACATTTGAAGATGAGGTAGAGCAAATTAAAGGTGAGTTTAGGGGTAAGTATGTAAATGCTCAGAACTAACTATATTGCCTGCTCAGGAAGCCTCTCAGAACCTTCATAATTGTCTTACAACATCACTGATCACTCTTTGCCTTGACAGACCTCACCATTCATGCAGGTAAAAGAGAAAGCAAGATCAGGTCTTCTAGTTCTCAAGTAACAACAGACAAGGACAAGTTAGAAGCTGGGATTCCCAGCATACATATCATTTATATAGCACAGCAGTATCCTCTCTGCCACTCCATTTATCTTGGTGGCTGTTGCAATCTGTTTTGTGTTTCTCAGAGAATATATTTTTCTGTGCTCATATTTTGATTGCAATATCCCTGTGTTCCTCATTTGCTGCTTTCTCTCAACTTTATCATTCACAAACTTGAAATTCTTCTATTTACACGCTTGAATAGTCTGAATATAATTTCATTCTGGTATACTTACTTTTTTTACTTAACTTCTATTTCACTTTGCTAGGTATGTTCCTCAGCAGATATGGGTGAAAATAGATAAACAACATGCACTTATTTCAGTCAAATCACTCTTTAATTCTCTGCTAGCAAAGCGTTGCTGTGATCATCTGTAAAATGTTGGAAAGTTAATTTACGCTGGTAGTTACAATAATATGGAATAGAAGGCTAACAACCTAATTTTCTAAACAGTACGTGATTGTGGACAGTATGAAAACGAGCAGAAAGCCTTTAAGATTCAAGTAATAATAAAACCTGAGATAATGAGAATCCTTTCTATGGAATTTTTAAGCATCTTAGCAAAATTCACTTTAGTCCTCTTCCCAGCATGAGATGAATATTTCCTTGTACAAATACCTTACCATATAGGTTGCCCATTATTTTTATGAGTGATTACATGGGAGCTGACATCTAATTTTTCGTCTGAGCAAAAGAGGAAGGTTTTAGTGAAAAAGTCCCTCACAGGTTTAGCAATTCTCTCTGGTAAGTCTCAGGGTTTTCAGGATCTCTGAGACTTTCAATTATTTCAACTCACTGAAGAGTTACATTTAGGATGAAAATCTTTATTGCTCAACATGTTGGTGGGTAGAGAAGTATACAGATGCTACAAGAGCAACTGCACCAGCACTGAAGAGCAGGTGTATCCCAGGTCACTCTGGGATATTGTATTCATAGAATGGTTTTGAAAGCCTGAGTATTGTTGGCAAATGTGCTCTGTAGAACAGTTATTTTGCAGAGGACGTGATCATACCTGTAAAAAAGGATCAATATTGGTCTTAAAGCATTTGCACAGCCGTGCTGATCAACACTTATGCTGCCTTTTTTTTACCTCTTTTTTTCCAGAAGCTGCAAAGAATTCTGTTCTTCATGTAAAAGCCGAAGTCCATAAATCTCTGGACAGTTATGCAACCAGTCTAGCAAGAGCTATTGAAGCTGATGTGAAACTGAGCTTGTTTGGGGAAGATGCTTTACCAGGAGCCCTGTTCCCGGTGCGGACTCTGCCAGGAGGCAGCACGAACACACGGCGTGGTGCCAGGCCCCATGCCAGCCAAAGACTGAAGTTGCAGAGCATCGATGAAGGGAATATCTGACACCAGCACTGGAGTAAGAAAAGAGAACAAAACCACTAAGCAGGACCTATTGCAGCTGTTAGTGTTTCAACAGAACCAGGATACCTTGTGGGAATGTTTTCAGTGTTTCTTCAACATTTGAAAGCCAGCTGAATTTTGGCACTTGCATCAGCATTTTACAGTAGTGTTTGTTTACTGTTTAGGGTGCTATTGACTTTTCTGTGCCATGTCTTTATCACACAGTTCATAGGAATGCAGGGTTTGGTTTCGCTGACCAGATCATTAGTCTGTTGAATCTTGGGTCCATTATTGGCCAAAGCTGATAAAGGAAAAAAGCAGGAAAAGTATGTGCAGTGTTTTAATTTATTGTTGTATTCATCGTCTTCTGAACACCAGGATAATCAGTTGATACTTGATAGCTGGAGTGCTCTGATAGGAGCTTGTACATGGGATACTACATACAGCCTTACTGTCACAGACTCCTAGATGAGGAGCATGGACTTTACTGAGGGCAAAACCTGAATTTTTCAGAAAGCTCACGCAGCTTATAGTCCCACTTACCTTTTGCTGGGGGATATTTCTGTTTGTTCAGCCATCAGAATGGCACATAAGATCTGGCAGTGGATTGTGCATTGCTTCAGAGGTACGGAGCACCAGCCTCCCTGGATATAGTGGGTGGGAGCAGACCTGTGCTGGAAAAGCATAAAGATGGTATTTGAGGAAATCGTTAATGCAGAATTCTTAGTTTCTCTGAGAACTTCAGCTCACGTCCCTGGTTTTGCTTTTACTAAAAGGGCACTCTGTGGCTGTGCTAAGCTTGACAGAATATAAACAAGATATTGCCACTTCATATTCAGGATTCATCTTTTCTAGAGAGAAAAGAGTTGTTTGGTGTTTTGGTTTTTTTTAGTCATGAGGGAATGTAGTATTTAAGCTATACTTACCTCAGTGCTTCTATTTCTTGGAGTATTAATTAATCTCAAAAATAAGAACATTTGGCACTTATATTGCACTTTGCATGTTCTTAAGCACTGTACAGACATTACCTTGTTAGGCCTTTGTGAGAAGGTTGATCAGCCCTGCTTGCCAAAGAAGGGGAACTCAGCACAGTCAAGCTGCTGGCAGTGAAACAGTCTGCAAAGGTGGAAAGGTTTGTTATGAAAAGAAGGATTAGGTGGATCATACAAGTATAGCCAGCTTCAGGAACCTTTCTGTGCCTTCCTGGGCTACCCCCTTCTGTACTTTGGAGGGGTTACAGCCCTGCCTTACTGCATATTTCAAGGAGAGGGAAACAAAAGTGAGCAGGATAATTCCTTGGGGGTGGGCAGTGAGTAGCAAATGGACTTAAAAGACCAAGGATTTGCATTTGTTTACTCTGTGTCTGCTCCCCTGTGCCTTCACCTTTCCCCAGAAGTGGCTTGTATGAGGTTTTGCTGGAGATTGTTTGGAAATCAAGAGTAGGATGTTTCCATCTGAGCAAAAACTGGGTGTAGACTTGTTAAGTTTTGTCTTTGTGTGAGTTATTCAGAGACACAGAAGTGTCGTGAGGCAGAGCCTCGGTCCAGTACTGTATTTAGACATCCTATTTGTCTGTGTTCCTGACTCAGAAATGTATTTCAGCACAAGCTTATGTCCATCTCTGGACAAAGCAACTTGACTTTATGAACTTGCCTGAGTCCCATTAAGTTCCCATGCAAAATATAACTGCATACTTAAAATTCAGTACATGGTTTGCTGATTTAAGAACAGGCTGTTACAGTAAGAACACTTAAGCTCCAGTAAGATGGCTCTTTGCATAATGCAGGACTAAAACAATAATAGGGAGGTTCTTACTCGTGCATTTTTTTGCTTCTAGTGTGTTAGATAAATTGGCACCTGTGGGCACTCGTTAGAAAAGCAAAACTAAAAATCCCAGTATTTGCCAGGAAATGCCCTGCAGTGAGGTCATTCTTGCTATCGTTAACATAACAATCACAGCTGCTTCTAGTACTCAACACTCCTGAAGGAACATGCTTGCCTGCTTGCCTCGAAGTATTTTGTGTGCATCCCTTTTATTCAATATTCCTGCTTCGGAACAAGCTGAGCAAAGTCGTTGCTGAATGTGAAAAGGGCACACAGTACGTGTATGTATTGTGGTGGAGTCGGTGCCGGCCCAAAAAGGTCAGTGTTTAGGCAGAAAAATTCCAGGGCATATGTGAAAGGGCAAAATCGTTAGTATTGTGTAAAAAGCACATTTTTCACACAGGTACTGAACCAAATTCAGCCTTCAGGCAGGTTGTGTCAGTTTACACCGTGACTGAATTTGGCTCCAGTGTTAATGTCACTAATCCGTTATTTAGTGTAAATGTTGTTAATATTTTTGTATACACGTTATAACCCTTCTGTAATTCTGCTACTACCCAAGTCATTCTCTCACCTGAGTTGTCATTAACGAAGAAATGCACACGTTTTGTAAAACTGTATTCCCCATCCTAAATACAAAAGAGAAAAAAAACCAGACACTTATTTCCGGCTCTTGATGGTCTGCGCTATTTGTTTACACTACTGTTATTTCAACTTGAATTCATCTTTTAAGTGTTTTACTTTTAAAAGCACGTTCAGCTCCCAGGATGAGCCTGACGGCGGCAGCAGCTGGAGCAGTTTTCACAGGACGAGGAGGCATTCTGGGTCGAGCAGGGCTCTCTGAGCCCGGGCAGATTTTGAGAGCGCGGCGGTGCTGGATGTGATGCCGGGGCAGGTTCTGGAAGCTGGATGTGACCCCGATCCCGGGGCGGTGCCCGAGCCTTTTCCGCACCTCGTTGGCCACCGCCCCCTCCTCATGGCCGCGCCCCCTTCCCGTCGGCTCCACCCTCCTCTCCCCGCCCATGGGGGCGCGGAGGTGGGCGGGGCATAGGGAACACAGCGCAGCGGCGATTGGCTGCGCACCCCCACCCCCACCCCCTTGCCCCGCGGTGATTGGTCGGTGTGCAGGCGCGGGGCGGGATTGGCTGTTTCGAAGTGCGGACGCGGCGGTGCCGCGCGACCATGGAGGCAGTGCGGTGCGCGGAGCATGGTGAGGGGCGGGCCGGGCCGGGCGGTGTGCGGGGGGTGTTGTGTGTGAGGGGGGTCCCGGTCCCGGTCCCGATCCCGATCCCGGTCTGACCAGTTCCGCGCTTCCCTCCCCCCCGCAGGGTCCCTCTGCTTCCTGAAGACGGGCGTCCGCGATGGCCCCAACAAGGGGAAGAGCTTCTATGTGTGCGGGACGCGGGGCCCCGCGGAGTGCGGCTACGTCCTGCCGGCGCCGTAAGTGGATGGGGCGGTGGGACAAGGGGCACGGGACACAGGCGGCTGCCCTCGGAGAAGCTCAGTGCTGTGTCAGCGCTGTCTGACTCACGTAGTCTTTGTTTTGTCCCACGTGACAGTTTTTGTTTTGCCGTGGCTGTTCCCCTCTTGT